ATTCTAGCCCCTTGTGGCCCCTAATTACGTGCCATACGACGTTAAATTCATAATATATAGTTGTAAATTGTTAAGATAAATATTTTTGCTTCAGTAATGTATACCAAAATATTGCTTGTTTAAGAGTTATCAATTTCAGACTTTTGGCCCCTATAGGCCCCTAATGTGATAAGTCAGCCCTTTTTTCTTGATATCATGTTACAGATCTTGTCATTCTGCACAAATATTGTTCAATATGTTTTAACAAAATAATTATACTTTAAAAGATATGATACAAAATGTCTCAAAAATTAACTCATGATTCGTGTCCTAAATTTCGACCCCTACCGAGCTTCCATACTAGGCACTTCCGGAAAATATCTAAACCCAGGTGCATAATGGCAACATGTCCTCTATCATCACTGAAAATTTCAGCGCTCTAGCTTAAGCCGTTTTTGAGTTCCATCACAGACAAGGAGGTCCTCTGAATTTTAATATAAGGGAGATAACTTCCGACCGGAAGTGATTTTCAAAAAACGATATTGCCGGAATTAACTTCAGATGTCAACTCATCTACCATGAAAATTTGAATAAAATCGAACGAGCCATCTCCGAGAAATCTTCTCCACAAATTTTGTAAAGAAAAAAAAGAATAATAGATGCGATCTCGTTGCGAGCAACGAGTGGGTCTTCCGTCCAATTTTCGATAAGATGAGATAAGAATTTGACTGAGATTTTCGTTAAAAAATAGTTATATAAATAAATTGTTAAGACAAACAATTTCCCTTCAGTAATGTGTAACAAAATATTGATCAATAAAAAGTTATAGATTAAACACTTCCGGCCCATCTTGGCCCCTTACATGAATGATCAGCCCCTTTTTCTTGATATCATCTTAAAGTTCTCATGATTTTGAACACTTTTTGTTCAACAACTATTCAGAAATTCTTTTTCGTTTCCGAGATATATGCAAAAGAAATATTAAGGGGCGGCCCTTTAAGTCCTAAACGGGGACGTCTAGCAAAAATTGAATGATTGCATATTATTAAGAATATTATTTTGAACGTCTTTAGTTAAAATATTGGTTATCAAAATATTCTTCCTGTTCAAGATTTATTGCGCCAAAGATTATACAATCTGACCCCTAATTATCCCTTATTGCATAAGATATGACGTAAACACCATGTTATATAGCTAAAGAGTGTGAAGATGAACTATTTCGCTTCAGTAATATATTACAAAATATTGATCATTAAATAGTTATTGATTTAAGACTTTTGGCCCCTCTCGGCCCCTATTTTGAGGGGCCAGACCCTTTTTCTTCATACCACTTTAAAGCTCTTATGGTTATGAACACTTTTTGTTCAAAAAACTATTCAGAAATTCTTTTTCGTTTCCGAGATATATGCAAAAGATATATTTAGGGGCCAGCCCTTCACCTCCTAAATGGGGACGTTTAGCAAAAATCGAAAGGTTACTTACTGTTTAGAACATTATTTTGAACATCTTTTATTCTATATTGCTTATCAAAACATTTCCCACTTTCGAGATATAAAGTGCCAAAGATTTGAACTTCTGGACCCTTAGGGCCCCTAATAATGTAACAAGTGATGTGAATATCATAATATATAGTTGTAAATTGTTAAGATAAACATTTTTGCTTCAGTAATGAATTGCAAAATATTGATTGTTAAAAAGTTTTGATTAAACAATTTTGGCCCCGCTCGGCCCCTATTTTGAGGGGCTAGCCCCTTTTTCTTCATACCACTTTAAAGTTCCTATGATTTTGAACACTTTTTGTTCAACAACTATTCAGAAATTCTTTTTCGTTTCCGAGCTATATGCAAAAGATATGATTAGGGGCCAGCCCTTCAACTTCTTAGTGGGGACGTCTAGCAAAAATCGAAAGTTTAGATATTGTTTAGAACATTATTTTGAACATCTTTTATTCAATATTGCTCATCAAAATATTTCCCACTTTCGAGATATAGAGTGCCAATGATCTGGCATTCTGGCCCCTTATGACCCCTTATTATATAACATATGACATAAATTTTATAATATATAGTTGTAAATTGTTCAGATAAACATTTTTGCTTCAGAAATGAATTGCAAAATATTGATCATGAAAAAGATATTGATTATACACTTTTGGCCCCTCTCGGCCCCTATTTTGAGGGGCCAGTCCCTTTTTCTTCATACCATTTTAAAGCCCTTATGATTTTGAACACTTTTTGTTCAACAACTATTCAGAAATTCTTTTTCGTTTCCGAGCTATATGCAAAAGATATATTTAGGGGCCAGCCCTTCAACTCCTTAATGGGGACGTTTAGCAAAAATCGAAAGTTTAGATATTGTTTAGAACATTATTTTGAACATCTTTTATTCAATATTGCTTATCAAAATATTTTCCACTTTTGAGATATAGAGTGCCAAAGATTTGGCATTCTGGCCCCTCATGGCCCCTAATTATGTAACATATGATGTATATATCATAATATATGGTTGTAAATTGTTAAGATAAACATTTTTGCTTCAGTAATGTATACCAAAATATTGATCGTTAGAGAGTTATTGATTTTATACTTTTGGCCCCTCTCGGCCCCTAATATGACAAGTCAGCCCTTTTTTCTTGATATCATACTAAAGATCTTGTCATTCTGCACAAATATTGTTCAGTATGTTTTTACAAAATAATTATACTTTAAAAGATATGATACAAAATGTCTCAAAAATTAACTCATGATTCGTGTCCTAAATTTCGACCCCTACCGAGCTTCCATACTAGGCATTTCCGGAAAATATCCAAACCCAGGTGCAAAATGGCAACATGTCCTCTATCATCACTGAAAATTTCAGCGCTCTAGCTTAAGCCGTTTTTGAGTTCCATCGCAGACAAGGAGGTCCTCTAAATTTTGATAAAAGGGCGATAACTCCGGACCGGAAGTAAATTTCTAAAAATTGTTCAGCCGGAATTAACTTCAGATAACCTAGCAACAATCCTGAAAATCTGACGCAAATCCATCGATCCATCTCCGAGAAATCGTCTGCACAAAATTTGTGCAGAAAAAAAGAATAATAATAATAATAATAATAAGCTTGAAAAAGAATCATAAGAATAATAGAAGGGTCTTCCGCTGAAGACGGAAGACCCTAATAATAATAAAGGTGAAAAAGAAACCGAAGAATAATAGAAGGGTCTTCCGCTGAAGACGGAAGACCCTAATAATAGGGAAAAAGAAACCGAACGAAAACAATAAGGTCTTCCGTTGGAGACGGAAGACCTTAATAATAGGGAAAAAGAAACCGAACGAAAACAATAAGGTCTTCCGTTGGAGACGGAAGACCTTAATAAACAGTACAATCACTATAAGGTCTTCCGTCTGGAACGGAAGACCTTAATAATAAACAGTACAATCACTATAAGGTCTTCCGTCTGGAACGGAAGACCTTAATTAATTATGAAAGGCTGATGTTTGATTATATCAAAATCTGTAAAATATTGGTGGGAGATTCAAAGGTGTAAAAGAAATTCAAAGGTAAAGATTAGTTTTTTCTACATTTTGAAGCATTTTTTGCTTCCTAATTACTTCCCTTGAACTACTCTCTAACGTTTGGAGGTACAATGTGTAGTAGTAAACAATAAAACATGGTATGAACATTTTCTGGCGAAAGACCTCATCAAAGTTTTACAGTCTGGAAGAAGAAAAGAAGCCCAGACATCTAAAACAATGAAGACAGAAGGTAAATTTATGTATACTCTGATCATCACAAAAATGCCAAGTTTAACCAATGCATATTTCCTTAATTTTATTTGCGTAGTTTTTTTTACTGGTAGGTGGTGATTCCTAGCCCTTCCTTATCAAATTTAATTAAGCGCCCTATACCTTTTGACGGTTTGACTTTCTGACCAATAAATTAATATTAATTAATCCCATTGAGAAAAAATGTATATGAAGCTTATAAGCATTCCTTGCTGATACAACGGATTTTTCCCCCCAAAATATAAATGTATAAAAATTTGTGCTATTATAAGTAGATTTACTTTTTGTGATGTGCTGGGACACAATTTTATGTGAACATCATTTATCTTTATAATATATATTTCCACTTCTGTCAGCTTTTCTCATTGTTTATCCTATTAAATGACACTATTTGAACTTCCTATGTTCATGCATAAGCAGAAAATAGGAAAACAACATGTTCGTTTTGATGTCATAATTTCATTCAAAAGGCCATTATCATTTAATCTTTAAACTTATTAGATATATCCAAAAATGTACTACATGTACTGACATAATCGATCTAGGTTAAGAATGCACTGAAAATATTTACTGAGTTATTTTTGTTTACATAGACTCTTTCATTCATCTGTGAAGTACTGTATATGTATACTTCAATTCTGTATATAATCTTTTCAAATAGTAAACAGTGTAAAAAAAAAAAATAAGTGCATATATGTACATATATATTAGTATTAAAAACATAATTCAAAAAACTACATACATGTAGAATATTCATCTCTGAATTATAACTAGCTATTAATGATAATTTTTTTAAACCACTGACCATGTTTTTTTTTTTTTCTATAAAAATAAGTGCATATATGTACATATATATTTGTATTAAAAACATAATTCAAAAAACTACATACATGTAGAATATTCATCTCTGAATTATAACTAGCTATTAATGATAATTTTTTTAAACCACTGACCATGTTTTTTTTTTTCTATAAAATTCAATACAAATTATTTGATACTCTGGCAAATATTCACTACTGGTAAGATGACTACATACATGAACATGTCTGTGTATGGATTATATGAATTTTCCTTTTGATCATGTTCCTAGGAAAATAATTATTTTCATTAATTTTTATCAAAGGATTTACCAAATAAGATGAATAAAGAAAAAATGAGACCAGTACACCAAAACAGGACCAAATAGGCCATGACTATAGAAGTTTGGATGCATTCTGCAAGAAAATGGACAGCTTTTTTTCTTTACAAGGTGACCATTCTTAAAATATGAAAATAAATTAAATTGTTACAAAATATTCCAGTTTACCTAAATTTAAACTTTGCTTATTTCTTTTGTTTATTTTATATAATTTAATTCCTGTCCAGTAACGGAATAACTCTTATATTCAGCACAAAGAAAACAACTTTCTAAAGGGATTGCATAAACATTTAACTTAGCTCGAAATCGGTGTATATTGCAAAATGCAGGTATTATTTACTGTTGCAGGTTGAAAATTTCACCTCGAGCATATTTGAGTAGGGATGTCATATCATTTAGGTTTAAAACCAGGAAAGTGAAAGCTGAACTCCAACCCACGTCAACATACCGGTACCCATTGTCTTCAAGATATCAATGTTTGAGCTGTCAAAGTTCAAATGTAACAGGAACATGTTTATTCTGAAGAAAGACATATGAGGACATCTTCAAATCTGAATGCCCATATTACAGTTTGTTTTAGAACTTATCAAGCTTCATCCTGTACCTTGCCAGAAAAACTCAACTCAAAACAGAGACAAGATTTACAGAGCAGCAAAAACAGTATAACTTGTCACGTAAATTTAATGCTGTATGGTTGAGAATACCCTAAAGGTGGCATATATAAAAAAAAAGTTTAAAAAATTCTCTTTTGTTTTTGGAATTTATATTTACATGAATAAAGAGAAGGAAATTGACTAAGCTGATGTGATGAGATGTTGGCAGGAACCTAAAATGAAACTTAAATGGGAAAGTGAAAGGAAGAACTTCCTTAAAATGATACATGTGGGGGACAATATTTTACAATTTTCAACTGGCTTTACAGAATACAGATGATCCACTGCAAACCTTATTATTAATTATATGTCAAACACTTTGTTTAAATTTGTATGTATAATTTTCTCATGTACTAAAAAGTAAAATTATGCATGTATTATTAATCTGTTGTTTAAGGTCCCAAAAAACAGTATATAGGGTTCCCTATGTCCACCTGTCTTTCTGTGTATCAGTTTATCAACAGTTCAAATGGATGTGCATTACACTAATGCATGCTTTAACAAAATTCTGACAGGCAGAGGGAATCTTTTTGCAGACTTCAAAATTGATCAATCCTGTGAGAGTAATATTTTTATTTGAGAATTAATTGTATTTTAGAATTCAGTGTTTGGAAACTGATGCAGACGTTTTAGCTCACCTGAGCCGAAGGCTCAAGTGAGCTTTTCTGATCAAAATTTGTCCATTGTCTGTCGTCCTTGTTGTCGTCATCGGCGTTGTTGTCATTGTTGTCGTTGTAAACTTTTCACAATTTCATCTTCTTCTCCAGAACTACTGGGCCAATTTCAACCAAACTTGGCACAGAGTATCCTTGGGTGAAGGGGATTCAAGTTTGTTCAAATGAAGGGCCACGCCTTCTTCCAAGGGGAGATAATCATGAATTCATGAAAAATTAATGATATCATTTATAAATCTTCTTCTCAAGAACCACTGTGCTTGAAAATATGAAACTTATGTAGAAGCATCCTCAGGTAGTGTAGATTCAAGTTTGTTCAAATCATGACCCCCGGGGGTAGGGTGGGGCCACAATGGGCGATCAAAGTTTTACATAGGAATATATGGGAAAATTCTTTAAAAATCTTCTTCTCAAGAACAGCAAAGCCATGATTGGTCATATTTATATGGAAGCATCCTCAGATAGTGTAAATTCAAGTTTGTTCAAATCATGACCCCCGGGGGTAGGGTGGGGCCACAATGGGCGATCAAAGTTTTACATAGGAATATATAGGAAAATTCTTTAAAAATCTTCTTCTCAAGAACAGCAAAGCCATGATTGGTCATATTTATATGGAAGCATCCTCAGGTAGTGTAGATTCAAGTTTGTTCAAATCATGACCCCCGGGGGTAGGGTGGGGCCATAATGGGCGATCAAAGTTTTACATAGGAATATATAGGAAAATTCTTTAAAAATCTTCTTCTCAAGAACAGCAAAGCCATGATTGGTCATATTTATATGGAAGCATCCTCAGATAGTGTAGATTCAAGTTTGTTCAAATCATGACCTCCGGGGGTAGGGTGGGGCCACAATGGGCGATCAAAGTTTTACATAGGAATATATAGGAAAACTCTTTAAAAATCTTCTTCTCAAGAACAGCAAAGCCATGATTGGTCATATTTATATGGAAGCATCCTCAGATAGTGTAGATTCAAGTTTTTTCAAATCATTACCCCCCAGGGGTAGGGTGGGGCCACAATGGGCGATCCAAGTTTTAAATAAGAATACATAGGAAAAATCTGTAAAAATCTTGTTCACAAGAACAACAAAGCCATGATTGGTCATATTTACATGGAAGCATCCTCAAGTAGTGCAGGTTTAAGTTTGTTCCAATCATCACCCCCGAGGGTAAGGTGGAGCCACAATGGGGGATTAAAGTTTTACATAAAATACATAGGAAAAATTTGTAAAAAATTTTTTCTCAAGAACAGCAAAGTCATGATTGTTTTTTTTTATGGGTGCATCCTCAGGTAGTGTAGATTCAAGTTTGTTTAAATCATGACCCCCCCAGGGGTAGGGTGGGGCCACAATGGGCGATCAAAGTTTTACATAGGAATACATAGGAAAAAGCAAGCCTTTTAAAATCTTCTGAAGAAGAACAGCAAAGCAATAATTAGTCATATTTAAATGCAAGCATCCTCAGGTAATGTAGATTCAAATTTTGTTCAAATCATGACCCCCAGGAGAATAGAGGGCCCATAACAGGGGATCATAGTTATACAAAGGAATACAAATGATATATCAATAAAAATTGTCTTCCTAAGACCAGCATAGCCATTATTTGTCATATTAATTCAAAAGCATCCCTTTGAAGTATAGATTCAAGTTCAAATTAACCCCCCCCCCCCTCGAACCACTTTTATATCAAAACTTTTCAAGACTGAACTGATTTCTGCTTTTTCCTAGTCAGAGTGCTCAGGTGAGCGATGTGGCCCTTGGGCCTCTTGTTAGTGTAGTGATACTGGTTTGGCTTTCTGTGTGTGAGGAATATGAAGGGTGGGGGTGGAGGGTGGGGGTTTTACGTGATATTAATGACATTATTTTAAAAATGTATTTTACTTGCTTTAAACAATGTCAGAATGATACAGATTAAAAGCTTGGATTTGTTGATTTGTCGATTTATTTTAAAGAAAGATAGTACAAAATGCTGTGTGAAATCTTCACAAAAGCTGTTTTTGTTTGTTTTGTTTTTTTTACATATTGCCAATTTCATGAGTACATTTGTACTGTACCACCCCCTTCAAACGAAGTTTGGGAGTAAGGGTATATAGGAACCACCTTGTCTGTCTGTGCAGTCTTATCTAAGACATATAATTGGCATAAAGATTAATCATGACTTGAGGATGTGCCATCCAAGGTCATTCTGGCAAGTTGAAGGTTACTGGCAAAAAAAATTATAAAGAAAATTTATGGAAGTTGAAAATTCAAACGTAAATTGAGCTAAAAGTATGTCATGACCTTGACCCAAGGTCAATGTAGTAAGCTGATAATCACTGGCAGGAAAGGTGAAAAAATTCATGTCAGGTCTATAGTTTTCCAATGGAGAAACGTTGGATGTTTATATTTTAGTCCAGAATTACTTATCACCAGAGGATGTGAAATTATTTTAACCAATGTCATTTTATCAAGTTCAAGGTCATGTTTCATAAGTTTAAAAAAAAAAATCCGGGGGAGGGGGGGTTAGGGGGGTGATAAATTTTTGACCTCACTCACAGTACCTCTGGTTTGCAGTTGCCCATGAACTTTTCATAAATTGTGACAAATACTTTAAGTTGAAATGAGTAACATATTTTGAAAGTCCTGCTTGTTTTTTATCTTTCATCCCAGAATTTTTCAAGTTTGACCAAATCTTGAAAAAAAAACCATGAGGTTTTGCCATTATTTGACAAAGCATTACAATATTCAAAATATTTTTGCAACATGATAAAAATGCAAATCTAAAATGTCAATAATTTAGTTTTAAAAAATATAATAATCAGGTTTAATTCTACATAGGTATAATAAAAGGTTTAATAAGTGTAGTTTTGGCAAGATTGTTAAACACAACTTCGCCATTTTGGTTAAAAATCTTGCATTCCTGTTTCCATGGTAACAAATCTTGCATTCCTGTTTCCATGGTAACAGAGAATGCATAGAAAAAATGTTATTTCATATATATTAGTTTCAACCTAAGGGGATAGTTTCAGGAAACTGGAGACATGCCGTGGTCAGTCTACATGTACTTCAAATTTGTCAATTTAACGGGGGGGGGGGGGGGGCATTTGTGTAGGTGTTCACAGTTTTCTTAGCTAAGAACAGCTTTATATGTACATGTATAAGAAACATTATTTAAAGGAACATATTGCATAAAGATTAGCAGGAAACAATTATACTTTGGATTGTTAATGAATTATAATTTGATCATTGGTCAATTCACTGCAAATGACAGGATACACATACAATTTAGGTCATGTTTACTCATGTTATGGAGTATGGAGTTGGACAGACAGACAGACATACTACATTCCAACATATCTTAATGCTTATGGAAATGGGATGTGAATATTTTTACATGACACATCTCCTACATATGGACTACTTTTACTATAAGTGACATCTAAACAGGTAGAAAGGAAACATTTCTTTTCTATATGAACATGATGAAATGTGCATATGTTCCTTGAAATATAATGGAAATTTTGTAGATTTTGGGTAATTTTTCATCAGCTTTCTTTAAAAAATATTTAAATGTCCCATAGATATTTTTATGTGTTTAGGCTAACTTATGTACCATCTATATAATGCACTGCTTTATAAATTTCAAATCAGTGGGCAAAGAATACAAAAATCACTTTGAAAAGGGGTCTGAAATGGAAATTTTCTTATTTTGGCAAAATGCCAAAATCCCCAAAGATATGTGTTGTTTAGGCATTATGTAGAATTACAGTTTTTAGGAAATTCTGATGTAATACTAAAGAGGAATAATAGTAGTTTTTATACAAAAGTAGGTTTTCTCATTCTCTTGTTTCCTATAAGTTCTGTTTTATTCAGTAAAACCTACAAAATCACGTTTTTTGGTCAAATTTTAGGAAGAATATACAGGGGAAAAATAGGTGTCGTTACCATAGCAACGAAACATTTTTTAGAATAAAAAAATTTAAAATCATTAATGATGTGACAATATTAATACACACAAAAAGTTTTATTAAAATTGAAAATGTAGTGTAGCCAGGCATTGTTTGATAATTACAGAGAACTGATATTAAGGTGTAGGCAAAACTGTTTGGGTTGAGAGCGTCAGTCGTCACTTCCGGTTGTCAAAGGAAGTGATCAAGAAATCGAAAATTTCAACTTTTCTTTTTTTAATTAAAAATTGCATCACTTTATTGCATCTTTTTCGCAGATTCGAAAGATGTTGATCCCATCGGAAACAAAAACGACAACTTCCGGTTATAAGAGAAAACTAAATAATTTGAGCATTTTACTTTCCCATAAATATTCTTTATAGATAAAGTATTTGAAATGAATTTTAAATATGTTATTCAGAGTGCAATTGCCTAGAGGAACTTTTAATATCTTTCAAAAATTCACTTCCGGTCGCATGTTTTCCTGTCCTGAAAATGAGAAGTTGTCTGAGCGAGATCTAAAAAACAGGTAAAATATTAAAACACCAAACTTTTATGAGTAATAGACCTTGAGGAGTATGCGAAACCATTTGGGTTAAACGCATCAGTCGTCACTCTCGCTTGTCACAGGAAATGATCAAAGAAATAAAAAAAAATAACTTTTCTTTTTTTAAATTAAAACTTGCACTACTTTATTGCATCTCTTTGCTCTTTTGAAATATGTTAGATTCCACGGGAAACAAAAACGTCAACTTCCGGTTATAGGAGATAAAGTACGTTATTTTTATATTTAACTTTCTCATAAATATTTCTTATCGATAAAGTTCCTGAAATGATTTTATGTATGTTGTAGATACTGCGAATGTCTAGAGAAAAGTCAGAGATTTTTATTAATTTCACTTCCAGTCCCGTGTTTACCTGTCCTCAAAATAAGAATTTGTTCTCACAATATTGCTCGGCAATAGTAAACGAATGAAGACTAAAACTTTCAGAACTGACAGTCAGTCATCAGTGTATTTGACTCGTGAGAAAATCTTGTATCGCCGTTACTGCCGGTCGTGTCAGGAAGTGATGCAGAAAAGTGAATGGTTAATGGTTAGCACGTTGGATTTTTACGCTGACGACTAGGGTTAAATCTACAGAGTGTCTGAATTTCTTTTATCACTTTTTCAGCTTGAATTTTCGTTTTTATATTTAGAATCTAACGGAAGACGTCTCATTGCTCGCAATGAGTTTCTAGTTTAATGTCTTTTTTTTTTTTACCAAATTTTGTGCACGCGATTTCTCGAAAACTATTCAGTAGTTTTCAATGAAACTTTCACAAAAAAATGAGTTGTCAAATGAACTTTATTCATCACAAGGAAAATTTGGAAAATTCGATTCCGGTTCCAAATTATGGGGAAATTCCTGATTTTTAAATGGAATTTTGTCCGCGGCGTTTCTAAATAACGACTAAAGGTATGAACTGGAGACTTATTAGAGATTATAGAACATGACTTCTAGATTACCAGAATTACCTTTTCGTGCGTCGTCAGTACTTGCGGTCGCTACCGGAAGCGAATTAAAAAGTCGAATTCTTCAACTTTTTTGTTTTTCAATATATTTTGATGGTATTAGTAGAGGTAATAGAGACTCTTTTCAGAATGCATAATATATAATTTGTCTGAAAATTGATTATAAATATTATAATTATTTTCAATATTTTTTAGCCAAATATTATGCTCGCGATATCTCGAGAACTATTCAGTGGTTTTTCAACAAACCTTCAGTGATAATGCGTTTTAAGAAGCCATTGTTTTATTTGAAAGAATTTTGGAAAAATTCACTTCCGGTTCCATGTTACGGGCAATTTCCTGATTTTTAAATGGAATTTTGTCCGCGGCGTATCTAAATAACGACTAAAGGTATGAACTGGAGATTTATTAGAGATTATAGAACATGTCTTTTAAAATACCAGAATTGCCTTTTTGTGCGTCGTCAGTACTTCCGGTCGCTACCGGAAGCGAATTGAAAAAGTCGATTTTTTCAACTTTTTTGTTTTTAAATATATTTCGATGATATAAGTAAGGTTAGTAAAGACACTTTTCAGAATCCATAATATATAATTTTGTTTGAAAATTGATAATAAATATTATAATTATTTTTAATATTTTTTAAACAAATATTATGCACACGATATCTCGAGAACTATTCAGTGGTTTTTCAAACTTTCAGGGATAATGCGTTTTAAAAAGGCATTGTTACATTTGAAAGAACCTTGGAAAAAATCACTTCGGTTCCATGTTACGGGCAATTTCCTGATTTTTAAATGAAATATTTTCGCTGCAGATCCAAAGAACGGCTAAAGATATGAACTGGATACTTATTGG